AAAAACAACAACAATTAACTGATCAACTTGCTGGCTTTGTTCTAAGAAAAACCACAAACGCCTTCTTTAGATCAACGAGAGTGAAAGAAACGAACGAACAACGTCCATATGTATTTCTCAATGCGAGGTACTTTATGACGAATTTGGCGCACATCTTTTTTTTTTTGTCTCTTCTCAAGTTAGCGAAATAAAATAATTTCAGGACTTTTTAATGGAATATACTACATCATATATCACCATTATTGATCAAGCTTTCACAATTTTGGTAGACAGCTGTCTTCGTGACTAAATAAACAACCCCAGTATCTGAGAAGTTCTTGGCCGAGTACATCAGGATCTTCGGCTTACCGTAGACTTCGTAGACTTACCGCTCTCCAACAATATAGTATTTATAAACTGAGAAAATTATTATTTTCCATTGACTTGCCCTCCAATGGTTCATCGGTAAGTCTGAAGGCTTATAACGCTAAAAACCGAATTTTGATACCCGTGGTGGGTACAGCACAGATAGCCCATTGTATAGGTTTGCGGTTAACAACAAACAAATAAAAATTCTGTTGACTTGAAAATAAGCAGCTAGTTTCGTTCTTTAAAACTTGTAGAAAAGTTGGTATAACACGAACATTTTTTTTTGGGGGGTGCAACTATCTTAAGATTCGATTACTATCATTTCCTTTCCTGGAATAAAGTTAAAAATGAATTTCAATACACTTCATGATTCACCGTTCTTTTACATTTAGTTGCTGTATATGCATGTGCAGTATTCATATATATCTGAAATTATTTAAATACATTATCATAAGGTAACGTGTGAATTAGTTCACAGAAAGTCAGAATGTAAATGAAACCGTTTTGTAAGATGCTTTAAAATCGGGATTATTCTCAGATTCATTAAACTACTAACTTCGAGGCCTCGATTACATAAGACACGTGGATGTTACTATGCAGTTATCAACATAGTTACTCTTCCGAAAACCATCAGTAGCACTGAGGAAGATATAACAAAATATGGACGTTATAATATATTGAGTTTATTCAATAGCATACAAAGGAAATATTAATTCTTCATTTGTTTGTTTTTTAATTTTGCGCAAAGCCGTCCCTAATTTAGCAGTGTAAGGAAGGCAGCTTAGTCATCACCACCCACCGCCAACTCTTGATTGATCGTCATATTATAACGCCCCCACGGCTGAAAGACCAAGCATGTTTGATGTGACGGGGATTCGAACCCGCAACCTGCAGATTGAGAGTCGAGCGCCCTACCACCTGACCATGCGGTGCCTAATTCTTAATATTAAGTAACATAACCTATTTCATACCAAAAATGTAAGTACAAAAATATTATATTATCTATTGATTGCAAAAGTCAGCAATTAAATTTTGTGTAAAAAAATGCATTTAATTTACATCGTAAGAGCAGAATGAGCGGAAATCAATGAAAACTCTGCTTCCATAAAAAGTTTAATCGACTCTAGTATTGCATTAACCCGATTTAACATTAATATTGTTGAGCACGTCAAACTTCTCACCAAGATACAGTTAGAAGAAGTCAGGAAGAAACCCGAAATACAGACGCACATCAAACTGCTCACCAAGATACAGTTAGAATAAGTCAAGCAGAAACACGAAATACAGAAGCACGTCAAACTGCTCACCAAGATACAGTTAGAAGAAGTCAGGAAAAAACCCGAAATACAGACGCACATCAAACTGCTCACCAAGATACAGTTAGAATAAGTCAAGCAGAAACCCGAAATACAGAAGCACGTCAAACTGCTCACCAAGATACAGTTAGAAGAAGTCAAGAAGAAACCCGAAATACAGAAGCACGTCAAACTGCTCACCAAGATACAGTTAGAAGAAGTCAAGAAGAAACCCGAAATACAGAAGCACGTCAAACTGCTCACCAAGATACAGTTAGAATAAGTCAGGAAGAAACCCGAAATACAGAAGCACATCAAACTGCTCACCAAGGTGCAGTTAGAAGAAGTCAGGATAAAACCCGAAATACAGAAGCACGTCAAACTGATCACCAAGATACAGTTAGAATAAGTCAAAAAGAACCCGAAATGCAGAAGCACGTCAAAACTGCTCACCAAGATACAGTTAGCAAAGTCAAGAAGAAACCCCAAATACAGAAGCACATCAAACTGCTCACCAAGGTGCAGTTAGAAGAAGTCAAGAAGAATACCGAAATAGAGAAGCACACCGTTCAGCTCGGAAAGATCCTGACCGAACAGCAGCCGTAAAATATATTTTCTAACATTACATAAAAAAAAATCCACAGTTTATCAAGTGAGGGAAATCTATTAGTCCATCCGGAACATTTAAAGAACTGATGTTGTGAAAGACAGCTAGACATAAACAACATTTAGCTTTACAAATGAGATTTTAAACTAAGGAATTTCTTCACTTCATGTCAGACTGATTGAAACGTGAAAGACACCAATATTGAATTACAACAAGTTTTGCATCCCACTGAGCTACTAAGTATCTCAAGCAATCATGTTCTGTAAACATGCAAAGATGTGGGAACAATGAAAATGTTGAGATATATTTACCATAGAGGTAAATTCTCCTTACTCGGATTAATACACTGTGATTTTGTTTTAAACAAAAAGAAGGATTGGGTCTCTTGTTCACGTGCAGTCTTCAGAGTTAAGTGGTAACAGCATGGACAGTTACACGTTTACTTCGGTATAAACATCCATTGTTTGGTTAAGACTCTTCAAATTGTTTAAGGAATAAAATGAGCACATTTATCTGAAGTTGTCGTCTTCATTGACATGGCTCCTTATCCTTTAATCAGCTCTGAAAGCTTTGAAAAATAATACAATGAATACTTCTTCTACCTTATAAACGAAACACAATGCCTTTGGAAACAGTTGGAAAGTTTAATATGTCTGAAAATGTGTTACTTGTTCAATTATTTCAATTTTTAGTGTATAAACATATTGTATAAAAAACGCTGCTGCCATCTGTTGTCTAATACTCGCAGTATAAACTGTGGTAGCAGGAGAGTTCAACATCTTTGTTGTGGAGTTTATATGCTTTACACGATTAAAACATTCAGGTATATTTTTCGAACAAAGCACAAAAGCTTATTTTACGTTAGTCAATACTACTTCGAATAGATCCTTATCTATGTTTCACCGCTTGTAAATACTTCAAAACTGCCTTGTTTGCCGTGACCTTCTTACAGTTTCCGTATTTCGGAGAGTGATGTTCTATGTGCTGTACAAGAACATTCAGCCTCAAGAGTATTGTATCGTTTTATCTATCCATGAGCGTAGGAATACTTAACAACATCCACTGTAAGCTTAGGAATAAAAACCATATGAACATTTTTTATCAAAAACAAAAACTTAAGAAGTTTGATCTCATTTCAGATACGCTATTCTATCGTACATAAAAGACAATACACAAGCATATATTACATTTTAACTTATAATCCATAATGCATTGAGAAGTCATCTTAAGGCGCCCTTCTTCGTAACTATACTTTCAAAAAATTATCTATCAAAACTGAGCCAGTCAAATAATTAAAATTAATTTTATTGAGTAAACTATCAGAATCGTGGCTTCATATTTTTTTATGATGTTAACGAGAAGAGAAACGAATTTTTTTTATCGTGACTTGTTGGAACCCGGCATGGCCAGGTAGTTAGGGCGCTCGACTCGCAATCTGAGGGTCGCGGGTTCGAATCCCTGTCCCACCAAACATGCTTGCCCGTTCAGCCGTGAGAGCGTTATAATGTGATGTACAATCCCACTATTCGTTCGTAAAAGAGTATCCCAAGAGTTGGCGGTGGGTGGTGATGACTAGCTGCCTTCCCTCTAGTCTTACACTGATAAATTAGGGACGGCTAGCGCAGATAGCCCTCGTGTAAGTTTGAGCGAAATTAAAAAAAAACACAAGCGATTCGTTGCTGCAAGAACGCGCTTCGCGTTTTGAAACTATAAGTGCTCGGGCCCCCCAGTAGCACAGCGGTATATCTGCGGACTTACAACCCTAGAATCCGGGTTTCGATACCCGTGGTGGGCAGAGCACAGATAGCCCATTGTGTAGCTTTGTGCTTAACTTAAAAAAAAACAACATAAGTGCTCGGTAAGAGTGATGGTCAAATCGCTCTATTCATTCAGACAAGAGTAGTCTAAGAATTGTAGGTGGACGTTGTTGATTAGCAGCCGCTTTCTCTCGAGTCTATCAATTCAAAGCTAGGCACGGCTATGCGCACCATATTTCTTGTACAGCTTCACACGAAATTCTGAAACAAACAAAAATGACAGAAGAGCTGATATATCTCGAAAAGTTCTAGAAGTTACAGAATTTTGTTTAAATGTTAGAGCCGATAGAATAATATTTAGAACAAATGTAGTCCTGTTATTATAGCTCTATATATACTAATAACTGTAATATAGGCAATGAGTTTGTTTGTTTGTTGAATTTTGCGTGAAGTTGCTCGAGGACTCTCTTGAGCTAGCCGCCCATAATTATGAACGGATAAACCAGCTCCTCAACACCACCCACAACCAACTTGTAAGATACTCTTTTACCCACGAATAGTGGAATTGGCCGTCACATCACAACGCTCCATCTGATGAAAGGGCGAGCTTGTTTATTGACGGAAAGTCCCCGAAATAAGTCTTCTTTTTGGGGGTATTTTATTTTTAGTTTTGTATTTCCTTCAGCAATGAATGTCGATTACATACGATTCGTCTTTATTTTTGCTTTTCTCCATACGTATTTCTTTTCGTTCAAGGCACATATATAAACAATCACAGTGGATCACTAGTGTATGTATATATTTTTTTACATAGCACAGTTTGTGATTAAAGTTTCTTTGAGTTTGTTTTCAGCTTCTTTTTCAGTTGGTACGTACGTTATATTTTTTCCTGAGTATTTGTTTTTCTCCAGCCTTCAATGGACAAGGTAAACTTCAAAAGATTCCGAGGCAGAAAAGTTCCTTGTTGTTTCTTGGTATTAAAACATGGAGATTCCCCAGAATGATGAAGGTTTTATTTGTTTGCTTTTTTTGCTTTTTTTGTACAAAAATCTCGTACTGCCACGAATATTTGTGAAGACCACAGATTACCTTTTACGGGTGTTATCGTATGTATAATACAGTAAAATAAATATGGTATCATAAGTCGTTATAAACCATAGAAACAGCTAATTAATGCATTTCATGACAAACGGGTCTAACTTTAGTTAGATGTATTTTCCTTTGGAAATACGTCTGCATATATATATGGCTTTTTTTGAAATTAAGGAGCATCTAATAATCAATAGCTCGTTGCCGATGGATCTGTAAAATGTCGTTGTTTCGCTAGTAATATTGAATATTTTTCACTTGAAGGACAGAGTTGTTCTTCTTTCTAGAATTACAGTAGCACGTGCATCTCGTGTATATTTTACATTACTGTCTACGAGTTTATTATGCTTTGTCTTAGTTTCTTGTTTTTGTGTAGAGTCGTCAAATCTAAAACTTCAAAACAAATATATATATATAAAACCAACTCAGAAGCACGGTGGTAGGTCAGTAGGCTTATAACACTAAAAATCGGTTCTCGATACCCGTGGATGGCAGAACACATATAGCCCATTGAGTGGCTTCTGCTCTTAGCAACAAACAAGCAACATTAATAAACAATAATCTTGATAAAATCAATACATAAACGGAAATAAGTTTGAGACATCTGTTTGATTGTTTTAGAACTGTACAAGGTACATCTGTGCAGGGCCGTTTCTAATTTTGAACTGATAGACGAAAACAAAGACTATGATTCAACATTACCAACCGCCAACTTTGGGCTGACCGAATAGTAAGATTTGCCCGACACTTTGACAGGACACCATTGTTTTTGTTTTTGTAACGGGACGCGAACCACGAATCCAGATTTACAGTACCTAGGCATTAACCCTAAATTTCTCCGAATCCGAAAATGAATGAGACCAGACTTGACTCTGGTTGCTTACTTACGTTAACGCACTGCTAGTTAATTAGTGAACTTATTGAGGTTCAGTCTATTCATTTCTATATCGAAAGTTTCTCGAGGTTACCATAATATGCTGTAATTAGGTTATCAATGACAGTTGCATGAAAACATGGAAAACTTACGTTTCCGTTTGAATATGAATATATTATTTAAGAAGAAATGTGTATGACATTAATAACATTGTTATGAACAAAAGTCATCTTTTAAGACGGATAGTCCGGGCACTGTAAACAATGGGTGAAGCCCGGACCAGACTAATAAATAATGTAAGCAAACAATACATTAATATAATCTCATTTGTCCATATCCATCGTACCTACATTTATTTCTTGTCCAACGAATAGAATGATCCTAAAGAATATGTATCAGAAACACTACTAATGGAGCACACTAATTTTACAGTCTTCCTTATTAGTCTCCTAGTCTAAACTAATGTGACTTAATTCCATTAGATTCTAAACTAATTACTGTGTATTCAAAACTATGGGTGTTCTGTACTATTAAAATACAGAAATAAACCTGTTGCGAATTACTAAACTAATTTTTGTTCGACTAATTGAGCCGTTCTATGTACATATAAGGCTTAAGAATAAAACGGTACAATGCAAACAAGGAGACTTGTTTTCGTCGTCGAAGTTTATATACGAGAAATATTTGAGAGGACTAAATTAATGTTTTTGGTGTTTACTTAATGCAAAGCCATACAATTGGCTACCTTCACTCTGTTCATGGCAGGTTCAGCGTTTGAAGTTCGTAAACTTACCGCCGATCCACCGCGAGAACCCCATAAAACTTTTTAAAAAATTGGAATTTGAATTTTAAACCAAAACAACGTCTTATATGCACGTAGGTTAAACGGGTATAATCGTTTCCACTACTAACTAGAGGGAAGGAGTCAACCACTAGCACTCGCCGCTAAAAAAACATAGCTTTATCCGATCTCTGAACCAAATGAAAGTATTTATAACAAGTCATAGCTGAAAATGTTGAGTTTTGCGCAGTAGCATCATATCTCGAACTTTGGACCTATCTATCTGCAGCCCGGCATGTTAACTAACTACTAGACTGGGCCTAAATGTATGAAAGTTCAACTCTTCAGTATAATTTATTTATTATTGTTGTTTTACTTTCTAAATATTCTGCTAAACAAAGTAATTTCTTCTTCATTTCAATCTGTGAAACTTTAATTACGTAATCCACGTCGGTCAACAATCGTTCTTCTGTAAAAAAAAAGAATTAAAAATATGAT